TTCTTTTGGTGCTATTTATTATTTATGAGTTCTCTAATGGAAATTATTGGATGGGAGGCCAACACTTACTATCATGGGTTTGTTTTGATTCAATAGTTTAAGTTTTGTAATTCGATATATTTTGAAATGTATAATATTTTATTATTATTTATTTATTAAAAAAAAGGAGAAAATAGTTGGGGGCAAACATAAAGATTCAACTGATGGCTTATTGGTTCGAGTGAAAGAAGTTTAGTTTTCTTTAAATAAGGTCTCGAATTCGAGTTTTATAAATGGAGAAATCAGCATTGAAAGAGCTTCCTCCTAATGAGGTCGACCTGGTTCAATTCTAGATTAATCGAATCTAACGTGGTTACCGAAAACTATGAGGTAAAAAAAAAAAAACATAAAGGTTCAAAGAAGCCTATTTTTTTCTACAACTTTGAATAAAATATGCTAATAACGATTTAATATGTTACTGGTTACTATCCTGCTTACATATTTGTCCCTTACCATTTTGGCTACCAAATCTAGCCCCTCTTGTTGAAGAGAATGGCACAGAGACATCCTATCATCAGGGGCTAAGCCGGTTTCAGTGCTCCCAAAAGAACTTATGAACATGGATGAACTACTTGGCATGCCTCAGTTCAGCCTGGTAGACACAGGGACAGGGCATAGACAGCCTCACCCCTTAAGCTATTTCATACCAGTGCACCAGTTGGTTCCAGATATCCAAGCAATGGGAAGGCACTAGCAATTCAGGCAGCTTGATCTGGGTGAAGGAGGTTTTTCTGTCTAGTTTTTCTGTCTAGTTTTCTCATCTAATTTTGTACAACTAATAATTTTTTTTGTAAGGCCAACTATAGCATGAAGGTTTTCTAGTCCTTGAAACATAGTCTTAAGATAGTTTCTGTAATTATTTATTCATTCCAACTTTAAACAGTTAGAATTAGAGAAGTAGAAATAGTTCAATTGCTTAAGCAGCGATGTATGGTTTTATTTGGTCTCTCCTTCTCCCCGTTTTTTTGGTAGTCACTAGTTCTGATCTAGCTCAAGTTCTTCAATCAAAGAATTTTAACATTTCATTTTTTTTTTAACATACTTGACTTTTCATTTAACTTAATTTTTCTATGTTTTTACCTTCGAGCAGATTTAGCTGCTCTATTTTGATTTTTATATAAAATTTGACATAATAATTTTGTTTTATTTTTTTGATAGATTGACTTAATAATTTTATATAGTAAATGAATAATAATTTAGAAATTTTTTATCTAAAGTGAAAATATTCAACAAATATTACATATAAAAAAAATTTGAATTATTATATATTTATTATATAAAATTATCTGATTAAATTTTATGTAAAAATTAAATTCAAACAATTAAATCTAAGCAGAGAAAGTATAATTTAACCATGGTAGCACCCATTAGTTGGAAAATGTTGATTTACTTCTGTTTAAAATAATCCCTTGAATTTTTTTTTTTTAAAAAAAAAAGGTTTGAGATCCACTCATACTCATATTAAAATTAAAATTGTTAGTAGTTGATTTCACAAATACAATTATTTATTAGCATTATTAGCTTCAAATATGTTAATAATATGTATCAAAGTAATCAAACACCTTAACTCATGTTAATGTTTAAATTTTATTGAAATAATTATAATATTTTTTTATTCTCTCAAAATTTCCTCTGGTTCAAATTAAAAAAAAAATACAATTATTTATTTATAAATAAGATTCGGAAATAACACAAATAATATTGTTAACACGTGATAATAAAATTTTTTTTTTTTTTGAACATGATAATAAAAATTTAATATCATAAATAATCTAATATGTTACATACCCCCACTGAACTTACCATTATAATTATATCATTGCCTTTTCTCAAAAAAACAATCATGTTCTTGATTTTGATCAAGCTTTACCCTGCTTTTTGTATTCGTATTTAAATATGAGTATTCTCTTCCTCGCATATATTCCTTTTTGAGGTGATGGGTTTTTGTTTATGGTAATAAGTAGGTCAAGAACTGGAAGATGGGGTTGTTTAGAGGTTAGGTATCTATTCTGATCCTACATTACTTTTTCTCTGCTCTTCTAGCTTCTTAGAGTTTTCTGAAAGCAATTTAGATTGTCCTTGGAAATATGGTCTCCTGCTGTGTAATTTTCACCATATCATGTGCAAATTATGGAAACACCATGAAAAGACTCAGCTTTTCTGCTTAAACCTCTTGCTGGGAGCCTATTGGGCAAGTTAATTGTTGTGAACATTAGAACTTTTTTTTTTTTTTTCCCTTTTTCTTTCTGGAAAAAGATGGATGAAATTGGGGTATATATGAGATTCATGTTCTTTTTAACCCTTTTAGATTCTGAAATACCCATCATCTCATCTTGTTTCTTTTGCACCACCACTCCTGTTTTTCCAACATACAGTAACTTCACCAACTTGGGAATGTCCCTTTCATTAAGTTCTGTCCACAATTCTGTTTTTCTAGTGCAACAGCTAGGCTTCAGTATAGGGATATACTTGTGTTGAAACCCACAAGCAGCAATCCTTTATGAAGGTGGGATCTGATATTCTTGATATTACTGTCAAAAGACTTTAAGGTTGGATGCATGTTCATGAACAATTAACAATTGGATGGTTTGCAGACTGTTCTTTTTACATGAATAAATATGTCATTGATGTGTTTCAGAAAGCTTTTCCATTTTTGGTTGGTGTGCTATCAGAGACAACTTGGTGGCTCTATGATCATTGATTCTTCCTATTTCAGGTTTTCTACGAGGATCATGTCTTATTCAGTTTGTTTTGGATAAATTCTTAGGTGGATGTGGAGCCAAATCAGTCTATAGTGCGGTGGCTGCTTTCAATAATCTCTACCAAGCAATGGATTCTTATGATGAAGATGAGCAGAATTGATGCTGCATTGGAGAATATCAATGAAAAGGTTAGTGAGAAAGCAACCTTAAAGTTAGCTTCTGTATGATTGCATCAATGCCTGCAAGTAAGGATTATTCGCATGAGCACATTCCTGAAAGGGAAAAAAAGGGATACTTTTCTCGGGAAGGTACAGCCAGCAGCAAATTCCTTGATGTGGCCAACCCAGGGTAACCAGCCCCTCCCTTTGTAGAACAAATTTGGCATTCCAACTAATGCTCCTTTCTTTTCAATGAATCGTCCAGCTATAAATTTTCTTCTTTTCAACAAGGGCCACTTGTAAATCTGAATGCTGGTTCAAAATCCAATTTTTTGGGCTCCTTGCTAATGGCTTTCAACAGATTCATGCAAGCCAAAGTGAAAGTGAGGGGCATACTTTTAGCTTTCACTTACCAGTTTAAAATTTTAGATTTAACTGTTCTTTGACATGATTAGTTGATCACAGTAAAAAGGTAAAAGGTATGTAGAAAGGTTGTGGTGGAGGAATGTTGTTGTTGTTTTTATAATTATTGTTATTTTTTTCTTTTTTGTGGGGGAGATAGAAGGCATTTGCATAAACAGAATAATCTGAAGAATTCTGTTCTTTTCAGTATTTTCCCCTTATTTAAGTGTCAAACCATAGAATAATTTGTCTTCTGTGATAAATGTGACTGCGTTTTTTATTATTCCCATTTTGATACCATAATATTTGAAGTTATATTAACATAAATGGATATCTTTTAGGTGAAAAAGGATAATATAAACTATAAAGGAAGTCACCCATTGTCTTTTCTATGATGATAATGATCTCTGTAAAAAACTAACGCACAAAGACGCTCAAGCTAAATATGAGTCATTGATAAATACTGACTAGTTGATGGACATGCTGATAGTTACGGCAATTGTTATATAAAACATAGAGTTACATGGAACCTTACGTAATGCTGCATCCTTGTGTGTAAGACTCTGCTCCTTCATTTCAACTTCAATAAATGATTATTAATATAACTTCCTTCATTCTTCTTTACAGATTAATTAGGTAAATCAGGTTTTATGTCTATGAATAATTGAAATGAGTCTTATCTTATTTCTGGAACAAATTTTATTCTTCATTCCTTTGGCTGGAAAAGGGAAGAATCAGGTTAAGGTGTCATTGATGGTTTGCTGATGCAATTTTTTTATTTGATAAAACAAGCTCATGTAAAAGCAAAATTGATATTAACAGCTGGGATTGATGGGCGTCCAGGTTGGAATTCTTATCATCATAGCAGACGGTGAATGGAGAAAAGAATCACAATCTATGCCAGGAAAAAACAATTCACATTCTGATCCCACTCCACCAACACCTCCCTCAGCTTTTGAACTCTCTTAACAATTAGTCTGATGTGACCACACATTCGCAAAAGAATGAGACCACTGAAAAACATCTCTTCTCTGCACTTGGGTGGGGCAGAGGAATAAAAGAAGAATCCCTTCTCAAACACTTCTTTCTCTTTTAACATGTTGCAAAAACTGTTTTGCAGGAAGAGGGAAAGACGTAACAAGGACCACTGCATGAAAGGTAAAGTTCATGTGACAATCATTATTGAGGTTTTTCTCTTCATATACAGTGAGTTTTTTTTTTTTTCTTTTTCCCTATTTTAGTTTTATAAATGATTCTCTTCCTGTTGGTTTGCGTGTGCCTTGTTAATATTCTCCACCCACCAAAAAACTTACCACTGTTATAGGTTTTCTTTATTCAGTTAAATAAAATAAAAGAATTGCATTAAAGTAATCCATGTTTGTAAAACAACATTGCTAATTTGTTATCCCATGTAGCTTAAGAAATATGCAGTTATGTTGCTTTTCTATTTCATGTTAGTATCTCTTTTATGGTTGAGTCACTTTTAGGCACTTTTATCACTTTCTTAATGCTGATACCACCAAGAATCCTAGCCTGTGTGCTGCACAGTTGAATAGAGATAAATCTCATGAAGAGAAAACTATGGACAATTGTTGCAGGAGGGGTTCATGTTCTGGTTTGGTATATGAGCTTCTTCATTTAGATAGAATATGGGAATCCCATCATTCTCCTATTTTATGGCTGTTGAAAAGCTGAAAATTATATATTGTCTTTTTTTGCATGTTACTAGTGCATAAGATCCTCTATCACATGACACTTAAAAAATTTGTTGAGAAAAGTGGAAGAGGCTGACTTTAGGAAAACGATATCTAAGCTTAGCCTCTTTGTTCCGATAAAAACAAAGTGATGTCAGTCATTTAATCCAATCATGGCTGAATTGAGAGGCAGGGAAGTTTATATGAAATCATTTCAGCATGGTATCTGTTCATGATTCTGTTCTTTGTTTTGTGGCAGGGGATGAATGTTGTGACAGCAAATTGGGCATAGCTTCTGTGCAACTGGAAAACTATTTCCTGTAGTGCAGTGGAATTCTGGAAACACCAATAGCATCAGCATTACTCATAAAATCTCTGCTAGAAAACTTTGCTAATGAATATTCATTAACTGTAAGCCATCAGAACAAATGATCAATACACAGGACCAATGATTACAGATAAATCTAGCCTTCGAATCATAATTTAATTGATGGTTATGATTCTCCTAAATAATGAAGATTTGTGTTCCGAATTCGAATTATATGAACGGGTATTATACCTTGTTCCTATTCCTTGTATTTTTGGACTGTTGATGTCACTTATCAATCAATTCTTGAGATTTACTGTAGTTCTCCTTAAATTTTGTTAGATATCCATTAGGAACTAGAGATTGATTAGAAGGTTTGTGATTTAAAATGGATTTGCTTGTACACAATTCTGTCTACATAGAATCAACAACTGTCTGTCTTCACTTTTGTCTGTCTTTAGCCTGTTTTGTGTCCTTGTGTTAGGATTATCTGTATAATCTCTTTAAGCTAAAGATGCCTTGGTTAGATAACAAGGTAGTATCCTAAAATGATTAGGTTTTGGGTCCGGGCATTACCTTGTGTGCTTTTGTTTTAACATTAGGTTCATGTTTGGTTCAGCCAATCAATGTTACATGGGATGAAAATGGATCATGGTAGTTAGTATCTAAATTTTCCTAAAATGAATAGCATGAGGTGAAATAAGGCTATAATCACTTCTTGTAGGCTTAGGTATTACAGCTTATGCCCAGTGATTCAAAATAGTTTAGGACAAATCGGATGCAACCTTATCCAACTTTATTCTCCTTTCATTTCATTTTATTCTAACCTAAAACTATATGTTGAAGAATTCTACTGTGTTATCTGATTAACCAAGACTTCTTTACCTAGGTAACAGGGTAATTAGGTTCACTGTAGAAACCATGTCTTGGTTACTAGGTAGTCACTTCACCAGCAGAACTTTTCACAGAATCACTAGGGATGGAGTGCATAAAAGGCTGAAATCAGCCAAAAGAAAATGGGTATCAGAGAATCTTTGGCATGCATTTTAGTTCATGGGTACAAGAGTTACATGAAATGATAGACAAATCTCTGATATTTTTATGTGTTAGAGAATCAGAATTGTCATCCCAACCCACAGAATTCCCCACACTTCTAAGAAATTAAAGTGCCCACTTCCCCCTGAAACTAATTACTTTTGTCCAAGTACATTCCCTTTTCCCCTACTCTTCAGTTGTTACAGTCTTTAACTCTTGCTGGACAGGTAATATACAGGATTCTTTCTTCTTTCCTATATAAACCATTTTGCCTCAAATGTTGCAGCATCACTGAACTCTGCAAGTATTTCTTTATCTCCCTACACCGTCCCCCCTCTCCGGTGCTTATACCTTGTTTTTTCTTGAAGCTTACTTTTGTAATGGAGAGAAATCAGCAGCGCAGACAGCTTGCAGTCATGAGGCAATCCCTCTTTGATCAGGTTTGCTGATTTTCTTCTTAACCTTAGCAAAGATTTGTATAGGCTTTAGAAAAAAATGTACATGTGCAAAAAGCTCATATTAGCTACTCTATATGGTCCGAAGTTTTATATTCTTTATTAATTAATTACTTCTGTGGTTAGTTATGACTAAATGATAAATGAAAATTTTGCAGGAGTATCTTGATGAACAATTTATCCAGTTGGAGGAACTCCAAGATGATGCTAACCCCAACTTTGTTGAAGAAGTTGTCACTTTATATTACCGTGATTCAGCCAGATTAATCCAAAGCATAGAGCAGGCACTGTAAGTTTATTAGTTCTAATAACAACAACAATAGATGGTGCTAATAATAGAATGTTATTGTCTAATTTACAGGAATCTTTTAGTTATAATTTTTATTTAGAAAACAATAAATGACCCCCTTTTTTGCTTCCTGTTCCTCCTTAGGGAGAAGAAACCTCTTGATTTCAGTAAGTTGGATGGCTATATGCATCAGTTCAAGGGAAGCAGCTCAAGGTATTAGAAGAACATAAACCTTACATGATAGACTCATTAGAGGTATCATCAAGTATATTCTGCATTGGCTTTTAACATCTTTTGTTATTTGTTGTAGCATTGGAGCCAAAAAGGTGAAAGCTGAGTCCACCCTATTCAGGGAATATTGCAGGGTTGGAAATGGAGAAGGGTAACCCTCCTTCTTAGGCATCTTCTCTTTCAACTCTATAATTTATCATCATTGTCTTCCATTGATGGTCCTAATCAAATTTGAGCCCTTTCGAAAATTTTTGTTCTTTCATGTTATTTAAGTATGGCTCTGCTTCTGCATTGTTCAAGCAGATGTATTAGGACTTTCCAGCAACTGAAGAAAGAATACACCACACTGAAAAAGAAGCTTGAAGCTTATTTTCAGGTGCCTCTTTATTTATAGTGATTGTGTTTAACTTGATAATTTCAACTCCACTACATTTCATGGAAATAAACTCTTTTGGCTAATTAATCCTCTGCTCCTGTTGTAAATGTTCAGCTGGCACGACAAGTTGGACCTGCTGAGACAGCATGCCGCCCCAAGTAGGATAACTAGGGGCATCTGATGTGGAGAGATGACCGTGCAACCTGGGAAACATGGGATAAAGAGTTGGTGAATTTGCTACTGTTTTATGTACAAAAATCCACCAAATGAGAAAGAGAATGTTAAAATTAGTTTTTATCTTAGTTTTTGGGGTTGGGTTGCATGTAAGCTATCCATACTGTACTAAAGTTCATAAATAATGACAATGCTATGACAACGGAATAGTGTTTTGTAGGGTATTCTTAATAGAAAATATCTCTAAAAATATCATATTTTAATTAATATTTTTAAAATTAATTATTTAATTAAAAGTTTTATTTATATAAATTATGGATTGATCTTATGTTAATTTTTAGATTAATTTAATAAACTTAACTAATTTGTTAATTACATAATATTTAACACTATTAAATATATATAAGTAAATATGGTTCTTTCATTAAAGGTTAGAAATGTTAGATGAATTTAAAAATTAACATTTGTAATTTGTATAAATAAAATATTTAATTTAACAATTAATTTTTTA